AAGAATCAATTCCCCATATCTGGTGGCAACCCTCCTATTAATGCAGCCCAGTATGCTATTAGCTTTTTTCACAACAAGGGCACACTGTTGGTTCATACACAACTTACTGTCCACTGTAACCCCCAGCTCGTTTTCTACAGAGCTGATGCTTAGCCAGTCAGTACCAGTGCCTACAACTGTTCCATCCTAAGTGAAGGACTTTGCACTTGCCCTTACTGAACCTCATCAGATTTCTTTTAGTCCAATTCTCCAATTTGTTGAGGTCTCTCTGAATCCTAGCCCTACCCTCCAGCATATCCACGACTCCCTCCCAGCTTGATGCTACCCATAAACTTTCTGAGGGTGCACTCCATCCCATTTTCCAGGTCACGGATGAAGATATTGAACAAAAATGGCCCCAGGACCCAACCCTGGGGGACTCTACTTGACACCGGCTGACAACTAGACACCAAGTCGTACACTCCTACTCTCTTGAGCACAATGATCCAAACAGTTTTCTATCCACCTTACAGTCCATTCATCCAACCTGTACTTTCTTAGCTTGTTTGTGATAATATTGTAGCAGACCATATAAAAAACCTTGGTAAAGTCAAAGTATATCAAGTCCACTGCTCTCCCCACATCCACAGTCCTACTCATCTCATCACAGAAGGCAATCAGGTGGGTCAGGTATGACTTGCCCTTGGTACATCCATGCTGACTGATCTTAATCACCTTCTCTTTCAAGTGCTTAGAAATGGATCCCTTGAGGATCTGCTCCATGATTTTTCCAGGGACAGAGGTAAGGCTGACCAGTCTGTAGTTCCCTGGAACCTCTTTCTTCCCTTTCTGAAAGATGGGCACTATATTTTCCCTTTTCCAATCATTCAGGACCTCTCCTGTTCACCAGGAGTTTTCAAAGATGATGGCCAGTAACTTCTACAATCACACTGGCCAACTCCTTCAACACCATCGGCTGCATCCAGTCTGGCCCCATGAACCTGTACATATCCAGCTTTTCTAAATAGTCCCTAACCTTTTCTTTGGCTACAGTTAGCTGCTCACCTCCCCCCTAAACTGTGCTGCCAAGTGCAGTAGTCTGGGAGCTGACCTTGCCAGTGAAGACTGAGGCAAGTACTTCAGTACTTCAGCCTTTTCCACATTATCTGTCACTAGGTTGCCTCCTCCATTTAGTAAGGGAAGTGATTCTTCCCCTCTTTCAGCATTGGTGAGGCCACACCTGGAGTACTGTTCCCTGTTTGGGCCTCCCACTACAGAAAGGATGTGGACAAATAGGAAAGATCCCAGCAGAGGACAATGAAAATGGTTAGGCAGCTGGAGACATGATTTCTAAAGATAGGTTGAGGAAACTGGGCTTATTTAGTCTGGAGAAGAGGAGACTGAGAGGGGATTTAATAGCAGCCTTCAACTCCTTGAAGGGTAGTTCCAAAGAGGATGGAGCTGGACTGTTCTCAGTGGTGGCAGATGACAGAACAAGGAGCAATGGTCTCAGGTTGTAACAAGGGAAGTTTAGGTTGGATATTAAGAAAAACTTTCTCACTAGGTGTGCAGTAAAACAATGGAACAGGCTACCCACATGGGTTGTGGAATTTCCATGCTCAGAGGTTTTTAAGGCCAGGCTAGACAAAGCCTTGGCTGGGATGATATAGTTGGGGATGGTCCTGCTTTCAGCAGGAGGTTGGACTAGATGACACCACCTTAATTTTCTATGATTCATAGAATCATAGAAAATTATGGTTGGAAGGGACCCCAGGAGGTCATCTAGTCCAGCCCTCATTCTATTAAATGTGCCAAGTTGGGCAGCGAGGTGGCAAGAAAGAGTGGAGAGTGTAATACAGAAATTATTGCTGAATTCCCATCCTGCCTAATACAAGTAATTCCCACACAATATACTCTGTTTTGTTAGGTTTAATATTGTTCAGAAGTATTTCTTCAAAACACAAACACCACAAAGCCATTAAATCAACATTTAAGTACATGTGTCCAGCATCCATTAGGATACCAAAGTACAAAACACACTAATATCCTCTCTTACACACCTACTTTCAATTCAACAATGGCATACACACAAAAGTGAAGTCACTTGTATTTTCAGAAAATTAACTCTCTAGTGCTGTGAATCTAGAGAAGTTATACTATGTTATTGCTACCCTTAAAAAAAAATCCTCATAAAAAATTAAGCCGTGTTTAATATGAACAAAATCTAAATTACACAGTTACCACTGGACTACCATATTTATCTCATAGAATCATAGAAGTCGGGTCAGAAGGGACCTTGTAGATCTTCAAGTCCAACCCCCTGCCTGGGCAGGAGAAAAACTGGGCTCAAATGACTCCAGCCAGGTAGGCATCAAGCCTCTTCTTAAAGACCCCCAGGGTAGGAGCCAGCACCACTTCCCTTGGAAGTTGGTTCCAGATCCTAGCCGCCCGACAGTGAAGTAGTTCTTACAGAACTAGCCATTTATCTTCTGCACTTTTAACTCCATGCATCACGTTCTATATATGGTATACTACACTGTCACAGCTGTATGTCTTCTAGTAGATTAGATCAACAAGGTGAAGTCCACAGTGGAGGCTTCTACTCATCTCTCTTTCCTGGTTACAGAAAGCTTTGTTGGAGATGTATTACTATATTATTTACATTATGGTTTTATAATACATAGAATGGAGCACCAACTGTAGAATTAGTAAAAATGTTAACAAGATCTACATTATTATTTTCATCTCTAAGCATCATTAAAATTACCTGTCCACATTAATGGAATACTTGCATCCTCTTTCTTGACAAATTTTAGCTAGAATGAGATTTTATCTCAAGATAAGAAGACACACGGGTTTCAGGAGGATTTGAGTTTTATTTTGGCAAAACTACAGGATGGAAAACAGCTTGCAAGAGACTATCAGCTTCAATCTTAACTACAGAACAGCTACCATCACTTCAAAATAAGCTATGAACCAAAGCAGCATTTTTATAACATAGTAATTATAGATAATATTGTGAAATAATCAGTTCCTACATCCCTCTCATGTGTAAATCTTTCATTCATTTCAGTATGTTTTTCATTTGGAAAATAAAACAGGTCTGTAAGATATCCAAGACTTGGAAATAACATGATTAGAAGAAACTGGAAAAATAAAAGTTCAGTTTTCCATTACTGACCAAGACATTACCCATAAGAGTGAAAAACTAAACTAAGTTATTTTAAAGAAAGTAGAGTATGAAATAATGAAACAAATATGCAATAATAAAGCACTAAGGGCAAAATAAATTTATACATAACACAACTATTTTTCAAAATTCTTGCTTTGCTTTAGATGCCAGTTTGCCTTCTGGCTACAAACACATTCTTCACACACGCTGGGAATGTTGAGGAAAACTAGTCAGCATTCAGAGGATTAATACAGATTTCCAGCTCTCTGCCTTGAGGCTTAATAGTCAGACATCTATTTGTCCTCAGGAAAGGTTAGGGGTTGAAATGCAAATATGCAAACAACTGAATTCTTTGTTAAGATATCAAGGAAAAAAAACTTGATCTCTACTGCTGTTTAATAAATCTTTGCAATTTTATGGACTTATTTAAATGCAGCATTGTGTCTTAGTATTTTGAAGGAGAATACAATGCAAGGAAACAAACACATTCATTCAGACTAAAATTTGTTCTCTAGAGGAAAAATGACATACACCCTTGACAGCTTATTTACCAAACTCACTAAAGATTTATTGATTTATCAATCAGTGCCTTCAGCATTTGCTTCTCCCCAAGGGAAAATTAACAATTCCAACTAACCTAATATATTCTATGTATAAACTAAGTGAATGCAAGAATCAATCCTGGCACAGTTTACAACACCCAGTAAAAAAAAATGCTGTCCCTTTTGGTGTATGTAAAATTGAAAGCTATACTAACGAAGAATAAGTGCCCATGTTACTTACTAACATAAAAAATACTTATTAAGACAGTACAATTGAACACAACAGACATTTTAAATCATTTAAATACTCAGTGGGAGGCAAAAGCATTGGAAAATAAAAAATTGAATGATTTTACTTCTAGATTAATACTAAGTACTACCACTATTAGTTGCAGTGCTGACGTGCCTCAGAGCAATTTCACAGAGGCTACAAATTCTCTTTAACTCTACCTGCAAAGGTCTAAGCCTGTCAATTAATTACTGGTTTGATGAGGTCAGGTCAACATAAGAATCCTAAAGGAAGAATCTGAAAGTCTAAAAGTACTGTCTTATTTAAGCAAGTAAACAAAAAGAAAAGGAAAATATTTTAAAATAACAACTCAAAATATACTTATATCCATGAAACTAATCTAAAAGGTAAGTAGGGGGAAGGAAAATGCAGTAAATTCAATATCAGTTTTCTAGTGCAACCCCCAAAATATATAAACGTAAATAATGTTAATAATGAAGTTTGAAAGGATTAAACCAACACAGCTGCTTAATCACCCAGGCTACTGGCTTGAACCAGTGAATCTCCTGACCACTATGGGAACCCAAAGAATGCCCTAAATTGTGCTGCACAAACAACTTACATCAACAGCAGATAAGGCAATGAAGTTTTTTTCTTTTGTTATAAAAACCAGCATTTCCCTTAGGCTTATGAGACGATACCTGCAGCTGAACTGCACAAGCCTATCTACATACAGTATGCCTTGTTGTCACAATTAGGATCTTCTCAGCAAAGTACATTTCATATGAAAGTTAAAATCTGATCCACAAAAATAGATGTATTTTACTTTTAGGAAGTCCTCATCTATGTAACTCCATTTCCAAAAGTGATTTGGAAGACTTACTAAATGTTCAACACCCTGCATTTAGGAAAAGATCTTCCAGACATGTTTCCTATTAAAAAATAGAACTAAATAAGTAGCTGTCATCCAATCAAAGTGCATGGATAATCTTGGAATTATTGTAAAATACTGCCCTCTGGTGTTAAGCCTATTCTAAGGCTTTTTTGTTTTGTTTTGTTTTTTGTGGGTTTTTTTTACCTGAAAGAACCACCTCCAGGGTCATTCAGCTTGTTTTTCTGATTTGCAGAGACCTGAACACCAACGCCCCCAGGACTTTTGTTGGCTTGTATTGTTGGTGCCTTCCCTACTGTGCCTGAAAAACACCAAGCAATGTTATTATGAGCTGTCTTAGACAATTTACATCAAAGAACCTTCTGTCCAGGAACTAAATTTAACTGTCTGTAAATTGCAAACAAAAGCAAGTTGTTATTTTTACGGATTCCTTTGCTGAAGAAAGAGAAAACAATTTAAATTTTAAAGATGCATATTGACAGTGATGTATTAATTCTTCACTGATGAAAAAACCTGAAGACGCTTAACACTGCAAACCATTGGCCATAGCTGGTTATAATACACATAATGGCTATAAATGTGTTTGCAACTGCTGGTAAACTGCTCTTCTACATGATCTGTACAAAATAAACAATCAGGACCTGTAAGTGGTACTTTCTAGGAGTTTGGGTACAAGTCGCATTTAAAGATATGCTAGAGACTACAGTATTATTTATCATGTTTTAAAAGGGGAAAAATTATTTTTTTCCTATATACTGGCTTGTCATTGTTATGGATACCCCACACATTTTCAGAATCAAATACATGAGTTTTATTTACTGTTTCATTACTACTTTTACCCTGTACATAATCAAAAATATGTAGCTATAAAATATAAAATAGCAACATCCTCTTAAAAATCTAAACCTATTTTCTCATTTTAATAATATTTCGTAAGCAGTAAGTTCTTTGAAATAGTCTTATAAGTACATAATTACATAAATCAACCCTGTGATTTTTCCTAATGGGCCTAAGGCCTTTGTAAGTCAATAATAAGTGGACATTTAACTCCCATTGGCCCCCACGAAACTCCTAAACAAAACTCATTGCAAGCTTCTGTTACTAATTTGCAGTAAAAAATTACCATAAATCAACATATCTAGATGACCAGTTTCAGGAAACATCGTACCAGTCCTTGGATGAAAAAGATTTGACCAAGTGAAACTTCAGTTGACTGCTTTGAATATTTTACTAGAATATGGGTTTGGGTTTTTTTGGTCTGATTCACTTATCCTTGAACAGTTCAAACCAATTTTTGGCATATGAATGATATTGAAAAAGGAGGTCTTCTGTGATGTTAAGTTCTACCTTCTTGTGCACATTTCTCAATATAATGAAAGTTATGTGCATAGGTAAAGACCCTGAGGCACTTAAAATAGTATCTGACAGTCCTCTTTGCAGTTGTGTTAGGATTAAATTGTCCTCAGGTAGACATTTTCACAAACCTTTGTGACTCTATATTACTTTTTCATGAACCCTAAAAAACTAATGTATAATTAGGTCAAGTAATACATTCTGTAATAATATTTAGTACCTAAAACAAAGAGGTTTGCCTTCACTGAGCAGAGCATTTTTTTTTTAATTCTAAGCTTTGTTCAGCTTCATCCAGAGCTCTCAAACCAAAATCCATTTGCCATCCTTGTTCAATGCTGAGTCTGCTTTGTATTACAGAAACTGCAGCATGACCCACAGTCATGGAAAATCTAAAAGTAAGTTTTAGGAATTCACGCTGTGGGAAATTAATACATTTTAGACTCAATATGTTCAAGACTCTTATGCAAAGGCCATCAGTCCTTAGGCTCATCAGTTCAATTTACGATGAACTAATTTAAAAGAATTTTTGCTGAATTACTTGGAAACAGGATGATTACAACAGGAGAAAAAACAACAACAAAGTTCACAATGTATCAGGATCCTTTCAGGATACACAAAGGATATTAATAATAAAAGCAGTTGTAATGGCTCTGGCAAAATGTAATAAACTTCAGTGAATAAGTCTAAAATAGAATTATGAAATATTACTAATCTGTCTCTAGAATTAATTAGCATCTTTACTTTGTTTTTCTATGGTTGGTTGACTTTGATGCACGATTATACAGAAAGTACAATACAGTTGCTAATCTTTTAATTTCTGGAAATCCATGTCATGTCTAAACTATGTATAAAAGCAAGTCGAATTTAATGCACCACCCCATAAATATTACTGTGCTTAAATGGACTGACAGACTAATTAAATATAAGGTTCTAAACCTGCGATGGAGTACCTTTCTGATTTAGATTGCACTGTAGATATCTAAATAATAATTTCCTCAATTACATACTTCGTTATTGCAGGGCCTAAAGCAATGATACAAAACCTTGAAAACCAGACTTGTTTTATGAGGCAGCACAACACAATTTACAATTATTTCTGTAAATTAAGATCAACTGTGAGTCTGGCTATCTCATTGGATTGGTAATGATATACAGAGTCTATCATCATTAGGTCTTAGATTTAAATGCAGGAAGCACAGACTGGAGAGATTAATTTAGGAGTCACTAGGTCTACAGTTCTACTCCTAGCTCTGTAAATGATTTGATGTTTTTGTGGCTTTTGGCAAGTTCCTTTACCTGTCTCATTTCATTTCCCCATTTAGAAGGCCTTAGTTTTTATACTGGTACAGTCCACTTTGAAAAGGGCTGTGAATTTTCACAGAAATAGTTATACTGGTACAGGTGATGGTATGGGTGTGAGTGTGGCTATACCAGGGGTAGGCAATTATTTCAGCTGCATGGCCACTTAAATGAGTTTTGCGGACCTGTCAGGGGCCATGTGCATATCTGTCTGTCTCTCTCTCTTCCTTGACTGCCTCCGTCTGTCTCTCTGTCCCTCTGTATCCCTGTTTGTCTCACTTTGTCTGTCTCTCCAACTCCTCCCCTCCCTTCAGAACTGTAGTTCACCAAGATCCCTGATGCTCAGCTGTGGACCCAGGCAGGAGCTGCTGCAGTGCTGGCTAGGCAGCAGCATCAGCTACAGCCAGGTTCTGGAGGGAAGGGGAAGGAGGGGAAATGGGAGGCAGATAAAGACAGAGAGAACAGAAGAGATAGAGAGAAATGCTGCTGCTCTCCTGGCGCAGCAGCAGCTCCTGCCTGTGTCTGCACTGGCAGGTTTCAGGTCAGGGCTCCATGCAGAAGTTCTACCATACCAAGAGCTCAACAGGTCAGCTACGGACGCTGGTGGCAGGTTCTGTGTCCAGGCTCCTCAGCCTGTCCATTGCATCCACAGCTGATGCCACCACCACTGTAGGGGAAACCCCGCCTAGGTCCACAGTTGATGCCTGATGTTATTGGGCTGAAGCAGTCCCCACCCCCCCACAACACTACGCAGTGGCCAGAGCCACTGGCTGCCCATAGGCCAGATCCAGTGAGTTGGCAGCTGTCTGCCCACAGGCTGGATTGAATCTGTTGCCAGGCCAAATCTGGCCTATGGGTCATATTTTGCCCACCCCTGATCTACACAGTATAACCATCGACACCTGGCTTATACCAAAAAGTTCTACTGATTTAATTGTGATGGTATATTAAAAGCAGTACAACTCCTTTACATGGGTATTCCAGGATATAGATACTTTATCCCAATACATTTACTCATGAGAGGGAAGTAAAATAAATTATACTGCAAAGTGCAGCTTGTGTGTTTCCAGTTTATGGCACATATCAGTATAACTATATTAGCAAAAAAGTCACATTCCTATGTGAGACAGTTATGGCAGTATAACTTTCAAGTGCACTTAAAGCAGTAATGTAATGTAAACAATGGGATAAAACAATGCTCACACTGTGGTGCTATGAGATACGGAAATGCTTGTAAAAGCTTTATAAAGCTTTATATAAATGCTCAGAATTATTTTTTATACCAGATTGTCAATTAAACTGTTACCAGATGATGTCCAAACAATTAATCAAGCATGAAATAAAGTTGTTCTTTTAAGCCAATGTCTAACAGAAAGACATCTACTTCATGCGAGTAAAAATCAAAATTAGCCCTAGTGTTGGCAAAAAAAGACCAAATAACGTCTGGGTATGGAAACTTAATTAACTCTTGCATTGATGCACCCTGCTTAGGATGTAGAGTATGAGAGCTCACTGACCTATTAGAGATTTTTCTGTTAATCAGCATAAGATTACTATTAACTCCTGTCCCAAAAAATAAACGCACTTCAACACTGACTGGTAGCAAGAAATCCTCAGAGTGAAAGGACAGTTCATTTTCCAGGCCCATTGACCCTTTTGCCTCTATGAAGAGAATGGCAAGTTAAATATTAAGTTGTGCTGGATTGTGATGGCGACAAATACTCACCTCAGAAACTTACAGGGGAATAGAAAAGTGCAAACAATTTATCATGTTTACTTACAGACCAGCCACACCTTTCCCTAAATGTCAATCTTCCCAAACTGGGAGGTGCATTATAAGGAAAAAAGCTGATTTCCATGGCAGAAAGCTGCTCAGCCAAAAGCTGCTGCCAGTTTGGCAGCGGCTATGGTAGGGTTAAACCCAAAGCTTTTGATGTTGCAACTAGAGGATGAGTGATGCTGGCAAGGGAATGTTCAGCTCTGGTGAGCCTGGGCTGTGGCAGATAAGATTGAAAAAAAAAAAAAAGATTTCTCCAGATGCTGCCTTCCCAAAACAAAGTACATCTCATTTGGAGGAGGGGAAAGGGGGTGAAGGTATGTAAGTAAATACGGTATGCCAGGCTGACAATAAAGATTTCTGGACGATCCCAGTCTACCCTGAATTTGGACTGGAGACCTAAAATCGACAAGCTCTGTATCTCATTACTAATCCACAATTATTTAACTGCCCGTGCATCCTGACAGGTATTAACAAGACTGTGATCAGAAAGGTTAAGGACAGCAAGTAGTTAAAGACAGAATTAACAAATGCACATAATGATAAGGAACCAGGAGGGCTCCAAAATTTCTCTTAAGGCAACAGATGGAATCAGCCACCCAATTCGTTTATTTTTGCACAACTATATAGTAGAACTGTGTTCAATACCTAGCCTCTTGCTCCTGAAACTGATAGTGGCAAGGTATGCTGCAGCCCTCTAGATCACAAAAGAGTAACTGGTGGCAGATAAAAGGTATGTAGTTCAGAAGTTTCTCAAGGGAGTCCTACAGTTGGACTCTCTCTGCAGTTAGAAAGATAGTGGCTATAATGTGTGGCCTCCAGGGTGAAAGCTAAAGCAGGAGGATTAAACTGAAGCATTCTCAGGGCTGCATCAGAAAAATGAAGAAATTCTTTCTTACCCCAAGGGAAAAAAATCTTAAAATGAAACAATAAGAGCCATATCCCTGACTTCAACAGGAACTTTGCATGAGAAACTGCCGGCTAAAGACTGATCACTTCAAGATTTTGTCCTAAAGTATATTTACAAAACAATTAACGATATTGGTCTTAAAAATACGTTGACATTACATAGTGAAAACATGCATACTCGGCCAGTAAGGTATAAAATCATGTCAAGCCTGCCAATGTCAACACTGTAAGTTTTTCCGTGCTACTAATTTGTAATAAAATTACAATGAAATTCATACAAATGTAACAATCTCACTAAAACAGTTAAACCCATACCTTGTGGTCTAATGGGCTGAGTTATTACCACTGGCATCCTAATCTGGGTAGTCTGGCAGGCAGGGTTTCGTTTCACAGTTTGAGCAGATGTTGACTGGATAATCTGCTATTATTAAAAAAAAGTATACTTATATTATACTCTTTATACACAAACACACACAACGTAAATATATTTACATGTGTAATTACTATAAACATATGGGTCTCTAAAGCACAACCAGCTAGTGACAAAAGTCATATTTATGTAACGTATGTTGGTTGTGTGTGTGTGTATAGATATGTATCTATATATACACATAGTTGCTGGTATGCTCTTGAAAAAAGGATAAATATTATGCGACAGAAAAGCCATGCTTCACAACCTTCATCCAAAAATATCCTGTATTTTACAGGGGTGAGATAAAAAATGAAGTTTTGTGCTTTTAAACAACTTATGAGGAACGAAGAAAACATTTTTATATAGGAAACCATCATGCTGGTCACTAATTTTAGTTATGTTCATCTGTAGCTCCCAAAGCTTTCAATTTTACTACTTTTATTATCACGCTTAAGTGATATATTACTAAAAATTATATTCCAAGTGGGACAGAGTCAGATTTTCAAAAATAGGTACCAGATGGACTTTTTGTGGTGACCATTTCAGATTTTAACTCATATTTACTTTAAAGTGTTAATCAGGAATTTTTATTACTTCAACTAATATTGGGCCAAATCCTAAGGCTCTTATCCAAATGAAGTCAAAACTGTATAGAAGTCTCATTCTTTGACCACTTATATATAAAATTGGAAAGAGCAAATATTCAAAACTGAAGTCTAAGTGATACTGAAACACATGTTCATGAAATCCAGAGTAGAATAGGCACAGATATAAGAACAAGAGATTCAGAAAGAAAGTCCACTGCAGAGCTAGAGGTAATCCATAAATAAATTTAAGAAACCACTGGCAAAGATTTGGGAGATAAGCCTATATACACCAAATTCAGACTGCTGAGGACATCACAACCCACATAACCTTCACAGTTATGACTGTCATTACCATCTTTGTGTGCGACTGTGTGAGTTCAATCTACTTTTTGTCTCCCCCTCATTCACATGCACACACGCATGCACGCGTACATACACATACACAAACACACACACACCCCTTTAATCGTTTCCAGCAAGAAGACAATTTACTGCAATTCAGACTGAAACCTAATGTAGTATGTTACAAAGAGTAAACAGGAAATAATACATCCGTACTTGGTCTGTACTCAGAAAACATATCATGTAGTTAAAGAATAAAGGGGTTAGGGGGAAAACCCCAATTTCAAGGAGAACTTTGTAGGAATATAAGTGAAAAGGAATAGGAAAATATTTTCAAATGAGAATTAAAAGTAAATGAAGTCGGGAAACAGAGCTTTGCAGCAGCAACTGTACAGAAGGTATTTGTATCATAAACAGTGAGATGATATGAAAGCAAAGGAGGTTAGCATTAAATGAAGAAGGGGAGAATGAATAGAACAACATGAAACGGTGGTTGTGATATAGGCTGGGCCATGAAGTTTTGAAAGCCAAAAGGACAATTCTGAAGTAGATCTTTAAATTTATGAGGCTAGTGAAGGAATCTGAGCATATACATAATGTAGTCACAACTTTTTGAATGTAAGAAATGATTTAGTAGCAACGTGTTATTTATATGTGCCCAAAATAGGACAGCTGGGAGGCCATTTCATTCTGAGAGGGGACAAGATAAGCATGGATGGGGAACCATCACAACTGCATACACAAGCAATGTTACAAAGACCATGAGAGAGAGTCTTGCAGAAACAGGAGAAGTGGTAGGTAGAACAAGGAAGTGCCAGGAAAAAAATGCAACCACACTGAAGGAGAAAAGGATGAACTGCATCAAGAAGGAAGACAGAGCAGCTGGACATATTTGAGAATGCTCCTCTTGGCCAAACACAATGCTTCTAACATCTCAAGCAAGTAAATGAATCAGGCCATCAGTTGTCTTGGTTGAGAGAGGCAATGAGTAAATAGGGAAGAGTCATGAGAAGGCACTGGGACAAAGTAGCAAGCTAAAAAACAGAAAAATGAGATAATGTAGGGAAAATATTTGAAAGATACTGAAAAGGAAAAAAGGAATGAAAAGTGAACATGACTGGATCTTGATGCACAGGAAAAATCATTAGATGTAGAACAAGTGTATTTTTAAAGGCTAGATAGATGTTAGAAAGACAGGCAAGAGTTATTTTTTCTCCTAACTGCCCCGTCTGTCTATCCACCACACCCACAAGTCTTTTCAAATCGTGTTTTTTAATGTCTATAACGTGAAAATTCCTCTTCTCTATGAAGTTAAGAGCCCCTTCCTTCCAAATGAAGATCTTCTCTTACATGCTATGCTCAAAAAAGAAATATTAGATGTGGTACAATATTTTGTAAGGCTCAAGACATGATTTTATTGCCTTTTGAATTAGCAGATTTTAAAGTACTGGGAAGATTTTTAAGTACTGGGACATACCAAAGACAAAAACAAGTATTGATTATACCATAAAAAGAAAGTGGATGAGGCAGTAAGATCTGTAGAAGGAGGAGACGGTCAAAAAAACAGACAGTTCTCTCAGGAAAATTTCAATGAGGTTTGGGACTATAGAAAGAAGTTAAGTATTTTCCACTGCGATGGAAAATGGGAAAAAAGTAGCATCAAAGCTTACAGGACATAGAGCAGGAAGTAAAACTCTCTGGGTCACCAAGGACCTCTTACATTGTCGCATAGTGTACAAACAAAGATATTTTGCAGCAGTCTATTTTAAAAATGTTTCCACTTTTCTCAGTTTATTTTACAACTGTCACTAGTTTACAGACTCATTGCTCAAAATAAAGTTTATTTTATTATACTTTTCTTCTCTATATCAAAGCAATAAAAGCTTTTGAAATATTTTTTAAAAATTATAAGCATGCCATTCTGACGATTTGTTTTTTGAAAGATGCTTGTTCTTCTACTATAATTTACAGCATGAATTTTCAGGTAATAGAATCATAGAATCATAGAAGTAGGGTTGCAAGGGACCTTGTAGATCTTCAAGTCTGACCCCCTGCCTGGGCGGGAGAAAAGACTGGACTCAAATGAGTCCAGTCAGGTAGTCATCAAGCCTCTTCTTAAAGATCCCCAGGGTAGGAGCCAGCACCACTTCCCTAGCAAGTAGGTTCCAGCTCCTAGCTGCCCTAACTGTGAAGTAGTTCTTGCGGATGTCTAATCTAAACCTACTCTCTAATATTTTGTGTCCATTGTTCCTTGTCATGCCAGGGGGCACTAGGGGAAACAGTGTCTCCCCTAAACCCTTCTGGTCCCCCCTAGTGAGTTTATAGACAGTCACCAGGTCCCCCCTCAGCCTTCTCTTGTGAAGGCTGAACAGGTTTAGGTCCCGCAGTCTTTCAATGTAGGGTCTGCCCTGTAGTCCCCGGATCATGCAGGTGGCCTTCCTCTGGACCCTTTCAATGTTGTCCACATCCCTCCTGAAATGGGGCGCACAGAACTGGACGCAGTACTCCAGCTGTGGCCTGACCAGCGTCGCATAGAGGGGGAGGATCACCTCCCTGGCTCTACTTGAGATGCACCTGTGGATGCACGACAAGGTCCGGTTAGCCCTGCCAACCGTGACCTCACATTGTCGGCCCATGTGATCATATGACCTGGATTTAGCTAAATAAATGCCAAAAAATGCTGCTAATGAAAAATAAAAGGTCTATTAAGGCAATTTAACCATTGTTAACCAATGAATTGGTTAATAAATATAAACGTTTTTTTACTATGATACACATTTTTAATCTGATTGTTAGGTTAAATAAGAGTCCCATAAGGCCTTATGGAAGCAAAAAATGCATAGAAGAGGAGTTATCCAGACTCAGAGGTCAAAACCAATATCTCAAATTCTTCCGAGACCAAATTCTTCTTTTATCACCACAAAGTGCGATCCTGAACCACCAGTGTGAATTTTTCTCTGTGCAAAGTATTCATCACTTTAATAAATTAGCAGCCATATTTTCTACAAACTTGGGTTTTAGTTTCCAGATGAACCTCAAGTTAACTCCATGCAGACATAACTATAATTAGGGACCTACCCAAATCACAACTGCATGGATTTCACAGAAATCATAAAATCAGGTAATCTGTGAAATCTGAAGGGGTGGGGGGAATTTATTAAAATAAATGCTGGCTCCTGATTGGGAGCCAGCAGTCCTCCTGGCTGTGAAGCCTGGCATGAATGGGGGTGCCAGCATGAAAGTAATCAGGCAAAATGGCTGCTACCCCACCCCTTACCACTGGTTGGCTGAGAGGGCTGCCTGTCATACATGCTCCCTCTCTCCACCAATCAGCAGTAAGGGGCATGGCTTCATGACAGACAGATCTCTCAGCCAATCAGCAGTAAAGGGCAAGGCCATACAACGGACAGTACCCTCCTCCAATTAGTGGCAGAGGGCAGGGACACCGGACCCTATAATCTGAGGCGTGGGGGGAAGGGCACCATGATAAGCCCTCGAAAATGGCAGCCAGTCCCATGATTTGCAAACAAAATAGGCCAGCTGCCTCCTCGAGTTGAGTAGACACCTAACTACAGTATTTAAATATTGAGTTGAGAAAGGCACTAGCAAAGGTGGCAATGTCTGTTTCTTAAAAAAAACTTGTAACCTCTTCAGGTGCAGCAGTACTGAAAACAAATCATTCAGGATTAACAAAAGCTTTAATATGGGATGAGAATTTTAAAAATATATGACACTTCAATTCATGGTGCTGATATAAGCTACTTTCCTTGGTCTGTAAAAATTACCTTCAGCCTTCTCCAGGCTGAATCTAAACCAAGTAGATGTGCTCCAAACCCAGCTGTATTCAAGAAGATGCAAGTTACTTGCTAGTCAAAAGAAAAAGACAAGAGTTTAGTGCCCTCAGGATGTTGCATGCATCACAGCCAGAACTACTTTGATAACCCTAATAATGGCCTTATAACAAACTGAACAAGATAAAACTTAACAAAAATGCAATGTAAGAGATTTTCCAAAGTGTACAATCAGTTGTTTACCATTATTAAGTTCTCAGTTAAAAAAAAAAAAAAAAAAGAGGAGTCA